TGGGGGGGGGGAGGGACGGACACGACATGGAGGGGACGACGGATGGACACACACACACACACACACACACACACACACACACACACACACACGGAAAAACAAAACAAATCAATAAAATAATCATTTGAATACCAGAGAGTGGGCTAGGGAAATGGCTCAGTGGATAGAGAGCTTGCTGTAGAAGCATGAGGACCAGAGTTTGGTGAAACATAAAGGCTTGGTGTGGAGGTAGCAGGAAGCAGGGATGGAGATAGGCAGGTCCGGGGGCTTGCTGACCAGCCCATATAACCAAAACAGTAAGCTCTGAGTTCACAACCTCTAGCCTTTATACATGCATACACAGGTGCAGGCAGATGTTGTAAAAAAGGTTATCCTTTATTTCCTGAAATATGGTTTTGAAAGTATCTTCAACTTTGTATTTAAGAATCCCAAGCATGAACAATACAGAGAACCCCTGTCTCGTAAAACCAAAAAAAAAAAAAAAAGAAGAAGAATCCCAAGCATGGTGGCACAAGTCTGTGATCCCAGCACTCACTAGACTGAGTCAGCTGTCCCATCTGAAGCCAGCCTGAGCTACATGATCAGATCCTGTCTAAAATATCAATATCTGGGGATACGGCTCAATGATAAGAGCACTTGCCTAGCATATATAAAGCCAGGCACCATCAAAATATTTAAAATATATAAATAATGGGGGTGGGGGCTGGAGAGAAGGCTCAGCAGTGAAGAGCCCTGGTTATTTTTTCAGAGAACCTGGGTTTGATTCCCGGTACCAACACGGTGGCTCACAACCTCCACAGGCACCAGGCACAGCACCATTACACAAATATACATTCAGGAAAAAAACATTCTTATACATAAAACAAAAATATATGAACAGGCTGGTGTTGGTGGCGCATACCTTTAATCCCAGCACTCGGGAGGCAGAGGCAGGTGGATCTCTGTGAGTTCAAGGCCAGCCTGGTCTACAGAGCTAGTTCCAGGCCAGCCTCCAAAACAATACAGAGAGACTCTAACTCGAAAAAAGGCAAAAAAAAAAAAAAAAAAGAATAATGATCTAAATTAAAATCAAGGCTTGGAGACAAGTTGCCTACTTAAAGTGCCTGTGTTCAAGTGAAGACTTGAGTTTGGATCCAAGGCATCCATGCAAAAGAGCTGGGCAACATCATGATCATCTATGTATAACCTATCAGTGGTGGGGCAGCGGATGCCCAGAAGTCTCCAGGCAGCCAGTCTGGCTGAATAATGAGCTCCAGGTTTGATAAGAGACCTTGTCACAAAAGATAAGGTAGAGAGTGATAGAAAGCCATGCAACATTAACCTTTGTCCTATGTTCACACATGCACATATATGCACACACACCCATCCACACAATATTTGACTTGTTAGTACTTATTTAAATAAAAGCATTCTGATACTTTGAAAGCCACCACCATCAAATGTTAAAATGACAAGAGACCTTGGATGTCAGTGGTTTAGTTGGTCAGTAGGCAAACACCACATAAGCTGATGATTTGGGTCAGTTAGGAAAATGTGGGATGAGAGAGACCACACCAAAGCCCAATGAATGAACAAGTTTACCCAAATTCCCTTATATTTCATCTCTAGATACCCACTGTCCCTGACATATTTTTCCCCTCTGTGGCAAGATCTCATGTATCTGTCCTTGAACTTGACAAGTAGCTAAGAACGATCTTGAACTTTATAGGTTACTCTTTGACAATCTCATCCATCCTTCCACACAAACAACATACCTTGATCATATCTACTCCAACTTCCTGACCAGTGACTTCTGACCTTCCTGTCTCTACCTCCCTAGTGTTGGGACTGAGGCACGCACACTATGACCAGTTTATGTGGTGTTCTGGGGATCGAACCCCGTGCAGACTGAGCTATATCTCTACCCTCTATAGGACTTCCTCGGTAGGATTGTACCACAGATCATGCATTTGTTTTCCAAGGGCTGGCTGAGCTACACGGCATGACTACATCTTCTATTTCAGATGTTTGAAGCTGGGCTTTACATCTTCTGAAGCTTCCCTGGGATTCTGGGTTTCTTCTGCACACTTCCCAACTCAGTGCCCAGCTGTCAGGCTCCTGTGCTGCCCTCAGGTGGGGTTGCAGTTACACAGAGGACAGACACACCACATTCAGAAACCCTCTCCCTAGAAATAATCAGAGTTTGTAAGTAAAGAAGCTTGGAGGAACCTACAAGAATACATCTCCCTAATAATGGTGGAAGGTGTGATGTATGCTGTGGGGAGAAGAGTCATCAGCATCTTAGCTGTGAACGCTGTAGGCTATAATAATACCAGTGGTGCAATAATGTCATGAATGTTATGGGAGCAACCAGTCCTTTTCGAATTGGATTTAAGGCCCAATCCACACTCGTGTATGGTACTTTTTTTGGGGGGGGGGGGGTTGAGACAGGGTTTCTCTGTGGCTTTGGAGGCTGTCCTGGAACTCACTTTGTAGACCAGGCTGGCCTCGAACTCACAGAGATCCGCCTGCCTCTGCCTCCTGAGTGCTGGGATTAAAGGCGTGCGTCACCAATGCCCGGCTTCATGTATGGTACTTTTAACTAGGCCAAGCATCCACAGCTGTGTAGGTCATAGACTTTAGGGGAGAATACACTATTCTACTAAGTAGACATAGTATTAAACTGCATCCTAAGTTCTTATCTTTTTTTTTTCTCTCTCTCTCTCTGTGCAGCCTTGGTTGTCTTGGAACTCATGCTATAGACCAGGTTGACCTCAAACTCAGAGATCCGACTGCCTCTGCCTCCCAAGTGCTAGGATTAAAGGTGTGAGCCACCAATGCCCAGCTCAAAGTTCTTATCTTATACACATATTAGTGCATTTCTTTTTAAAGATTTATTTATTAAGTATACAGTGTTCTGTCTGCATGTATGCTGCACACCAGAAGAGGGCAGCAGATGTCATTATAGATGGTTGTGAGCTATCATGTGGTTGCTGGGAACTGAACTCAGGTCCTCTGGAAGAGCAGTATTCTTAACCTCTGAGCCATCTCTCCAGCCCATATTAGTGCATTTCTTAACCTTCATGAGAGAAGTCTTTTTTTTTCTTTCAGTAGATGGAGATTAATATAGACTTAACAACTGGTCAACATGAAACAGTAGACTGTGCTCATCCCTAAATGTGACACATATGTTAGATTCTCTTACTCCTAGATTTAGGGAATCGTCTCATAAGAGGGGAGCTATGGAAGGATTATAAGAGCCAGAGGTATCGGGTGACTGCTGTGAGGTGGCATTTTGTTTTTGACCTAGCAGGGCCAACGCACACATGAATTCATAGTGGCTATGACTACATAGGCAAGACCTAGCCAGTCAATATCACAAAGTGGATCCCTAGCTGAGGGTTGGCAATTGATGGCCACTGTGGGAGGGGCTGTTTTCTTCAGGGTTTCTGGCCCGATAGGAGACCTGTGCTCCAGTAGACGGCCCTACATTCCTGTGCTTGCCGGCAGGATTAAGTGGACTCAGTGGGTTAAAATAAAAAGTTGGGAGGGGAAGTATAGGGAGAGATGCGGCAGGCTTAGAAGAGATGGATGAGGCTTGTGGGAGGCGACGGGAGTGGATTCCACCAAACATACCACATGCTTGTAAGAGATCCTCAAATGAAAAGAACGAGCTTGGACTAAGCGTTCTCAGATTTGAGGTTTGTGATGAGTAGACAGGGGAAAACTAAGAGCAGGTGACTTCACTTAAAGGTAAGGTCTGGACTGAGGGACCTTGGTGTACTGCCTGGAGGAAGGCCTTGTGCTTTCCTCCATAGAATTGTCTAACTTTTCATTGAGTCTGTGAGCTCCTTTCTGTTTTTGTTTGTCTTGTTTTGTTTTGTTCTGTCTTCAGGCAGGGTCTCTCTTTTATGCAGCACCACATGTCCTGGAACTCACTATGTAGACTAGAGATCCTCTGGACTCTGCCTCCCGAATACTGGGATTAAATGCATACACCACCATGCCGGTTCAGCATAAGGAGTCTTAAAAATCAATGTGAAGACATCCACACATTCACAAACAATCCTTATAGATCGTGACTACATTCAAAGTTCAGAAACTGCTACACCCACAGTTTGGGCTCCTTCACCACACACACCTTGGGGCATCATGTTCGGTGCTGAGCACTGGAGCCTACCAAGATGAGTAACACCTGATCCATGACCGACTGGACTCCGCACCAGAACAACGGCAGATGGTAAAAATGGGCAACAGTATCATCGAAGGTACACCAGCTGTCTCGCTTGACTCATACTTGGCTTTCCATGGGGTTCATTTGTGAGCTGTGCATACTGACAGGGTCATCCTGTAAATGTCTAAAGGAACACCACCAGTTAATACTGCCAAGCAGGAAGTGTAATCTGGAAAGAGAAATCCCCTGAGTTTGCCCACTGGGGCACGCAAGGTGTCGTAGCTATTCTTTTCTGGAGGCTCTGCTGCGTAATTTAGGCTCTAACATAGCAAAGGGCAGCTGCTCAGTTTGAACCAAATTCTACCTTTCAACTAACTGCCGGGAAATAATTTGTAACAGAGTGCTATGTTGCATACCAAACTGTGTTCTTTTTCCTGCCCAACTTCATGTTTCCATGCACCAAAATGTTGGTGCTAAAAACTCTGGAGGCCACACTTACCTGACAGTTTTCTCCATCCCAGAGGGCGCAGAGCAAGAGCTACGGGGCCGTGACAAGCGGGAGCGAGCTGGCCGCAGGTGGAGCTGCTGTCCGGGCCACCAGGGCCACTCATTAAACCCCGGGCTCCCAGAGTCAACCTCACGCGCACGCGCACTCGCTGCCGGCTGCAGCGGCATCTCTGGCCTTGAGGAGCACCGCTACCCCAGTGGGCGGAGCTGCGGGGGGGGGTCTCCTGGACACGTGACCGGAGCCAACATGGCGGCGCCCATCGGCGTCCACCTGCTCGTCCGAAGAGGTAAGCGATCGGAAGCCGAGCGCTCCGGGGCCGCGCTCCCAGAGATGAGTCCGCGCGTGGACGCGGTACGCACGTGCGTACGTTCAGTCAGACCCACGCACACGACACACCTGGCACGCTGCAGAAACACAGTCACACGTTCGTCCACTCCTTTCCTGAGCCGAGTCGCTGTGTGGTTAGTCCTGGAGATTTGCGGGTCGTTGCCTACAGTTTTCTAACCCCATTTTACTAGTGTTAAAGACACCATATTCCGACGACGCCTGTGAAATGCGCCTGGTCCCTCGGTTTAGAGCTGTTACGTTGGCACGTCTTTTTGAGAAACTTGTACAATGTGGCTTAAGAGAGCTAACGATGCCTGAGTCATTCCAAACAGGTGCGTTTGCGGTGAATCATTGTTGAATTAGTATAGGTTCTGATTCTATGCTGGGAAGAACTCAGGAACTGGTTCAAGGACGAGGAAAAAGGAGCACCAACAACTTGAGGGACTATTTAAGTGCCAGGCACATAGGGATGGTTTTAGGAGGTAAATATTTTCGTAGTGATAACCCAGCACTTTTATTACATGCTTGCCAAAACATCTCACCAGTTCACACACCTCTTGTGTGAAATCAGGTACTGACACCTTGTGTATATAGGTGTATCTAAGGGTATGTTATAAAAAAGGGGGGATTGATGTTGGCATGGAATGGTATCCTCAAAATATATTATTTGGAAAAAGCAAGTTGCAGGACAATTTATTTTTAAAATTACATATATTTGCTTGTCTGTTTATTGTGTATGTGTGTGCTCAAGCAGGTGCCATGGTGTGCATGGAAGGTTGTAGGAGAACTTTGGGGCGTTCTCTTTCCATCATCTGGGTTCCAGAGAGTGAACTCAGGCTTGATGGAAAGAGCCTCTACCCATTGAGCCATCGCGCCAGTCCAGTTTAGCATAAAACAACCCGGTTTTGTGAAGCCAGTTACCCATATATTTGCGTGTACACGTGTATCTAAGCTCATAATGCATACAGAGAATGGCATATAGTCACAGTTTTGTGAAATAAAATATGAAATGCCATATTCTTAAGAGAATTCAAAATTTGTGAAAATGTACAGTGTCTAACATATCTTATGGCAAAGATGAGTCAATCATTATATGTACAGAGTGTGGCTTGAATGATCTTTTACATTTGTTTACAACTTGTTCTGGAGAAGAATAGATTTTCTTCCTTTTAGCCTTTGAATGCTCTTGATATGAGAAATTCCAAACACATGGGAGAAGAGACAGCTGAACAGTGAACTCTGCATATGCATCATCTACTCACAAACTGTAGTTACGTTTGCCTTCCCAAAACTGTGTTATTTTAAAGTTTGTCCTAGGTATGTATCAATTTATTTGCAGATTCTTGTCACTGTGTATCTCTGAAAGATGAGCCTAGGGGCTGGGAGTGTAGCTTAGTGGCTAAGCTCTTGAATAACACCCCTAAGGCCCTGGTTTGGGGTTCCAGCCCCAGCACCACAAGAGGGACAAAAAACACCGAAATCTCATTCAGCCTCATGTATATTGTCCTTATTTCTAGAATGCCAATTGTTTTAAGACAGTCTCTTGTAAGCTGTGCGTTGGTAGCGCACGCCTTTAATCCCAGCACTTGGGAGGCAGAGGCAGGTGGATCTCTGTGAGTTTGAGGCCAGCCTGGTCTACAAGAGCTAGTTCCAGGACAGCCTCCAAAGCCACAGAGAAACCCTGTCTCGAAAAACCAAAAAAAAAAAAAAAAAAACAGTCTCTTGTAGTCCAAGGTGTCCTTGAACTCCTGTGTAATAAGTTTTCTTTACCACAATAATAGGTTTCTCCACCGAAACGGTAAGCCAGATAAAGTTGAATTAAAAGGTAAAGGATCAGGCTTATTCGGAGCAAAGCAACTCCTGGGTGACTCCTCCAGACTCCAGAGATTGAGCCGGGGGAGGGGCAGAAAAAAAAATCACATGGCCCATCTAAAGGAGGGAGCTTAAATTGTTATGCCAAGTTTGCGAGACCCGAAATAGACCACCAGGGAGCCAACTCTCCGATGCAAAAGCAAAAGTTTTTTTAAAAAATAGTTTATGAGTTAACTTTATTAATGCAGGTCTTCCGTCCATCCATCTGACACAGGGGTAGAGCAAGAAGGACTGAGGGGCAGGGAATTTATTGGTGTGGGGCAAGGGGAATGTCTGGGGTCAGAAACAGTCTCAGGACTGGTGCACTTCTGGGCTTGGGCGACCTGTCCTGTGTTGATTGGTCAACTGGTTGCTCCTCCCAGAGTGGTTGCTATAGTCTGTATGCCATTGTTACCCAGAGCCCTTACAGCACATGCAGAGTCCTCCAGCTAACTTCTGATTGGTTCCTTGCCACACTGAGCGTATCTGACCTCCTAGTGACTAGGAGGTTGGGCAAGGTCAGGAAGCTGAGCACATGTTGCTGAGTCAGAGGCCTACATCTTGCTGGGTCTTTTCTGCCCCCCTGTCATGGCTACTAAAGCAGGGGCTGAGGTGAGGGTCTGGTCCCTTCAAAATATCCTGTAAGCATGGGTGATGATGATGTGTCCTCCACAAGCTGGGTTTCTGCTCACTTATAACACTTAGGCAGGGATTGGGCAGCTAGCAGCTTCAAGGGAGGAACCACCACAACCAGGAACACAGAACTAGAACTTTTTCTGAGAGGATGGGGTTTGGAGAGACAGAAGTGGGGCTTTCTCAGCTGGAAACTCAAGCTGAACGTCATGTACTGAGATTAGAGGTGTGAACCATAGTAGTGGGCATTTCCCCGTATTTCTCTGTTCAGATTTCCCAGCCATTCATTCAATTAACTCCATCCTTTAAGTACTTGAACATACTTTTGTAACAACTGTCCTAACAAGTGTCTTTTAGGTAGGATGGCCTTGAATTTCTGGTCTTCCTGCCTTCTCCAAAGAGTTGAGATTACAAACATGTACCACCACACCCAGTAAACATAACAACATATAAAAGAAGATTTAGTTTTTATTATTTATGTGCATGTGAGTTCCTGCATGAATTTATGTGTACCGCATATGTGCAGGTCCTTGAGGAGGCCAGAGAGTCAGATCCCGTGGAACTGGAGTTATAGGCAGTCATGAGCCACAGGATTATGGGAACCCAACTGGTGAGAGCAGTAAGTGCTCTTAATTACCAAGCCATCTCCCCAGCCCATAACAGCTATTTTAATCACAGTCTATTAGCAGCTACTGTTGCTTCTCCTCCTCCTCCTCCTCCTCCTCCTTCTTCTAAGATTTTATTTATTATGAATACAACATCAGAAGAGGGTACCAGATATCTTTACAGATGGTTGTGAGCCACCATGTGGTTGCTGGGAATTGAACTCAGGACCTCTGGAAGAGCAAGCAGTCAGTGCTCTTACCTCTGAGCCATCTTGCCAGCCCCTTCCCCTTCCCCTTCCCCTTCCCCTTCCCCTTCTTCTTCTTCCCCTTCCCCTTCTTCTTCTTCCCCTTCTTCTTCTTCCCCTTCTTCTTCTTCTTCTTCTTCTTCTTCTTCTTCTTCTTCTTCTTCTTCTTCTTCTTCTTCTTCTTCTTCTTCTTCTTCTTCTTCTCCTCCTCCTCCTCTTCTTCCTCCTTCTTCTCCTTTTCTTCTTTTTTTTTGGTTTTTCGAGACAGGGTTTCTCTGTGGCTTTGGAGGCTGTCCTGGAACTAGCTCTTGTAAACCCTTTTCTTCTTCTTTGTCATCATCATCACTTACATTTTCCTGATTTATATCTCATGTAATATTTATTTTTTAAATGTATTTATTTTTTATATTGGTGTTTTGCGATGGGTGTCCGGTCCCCTGAATCTGTAGTTACAGTTGTGAACTGGGAATTGAACCCAGGTCCTCTGGAAGATCAGTCACTGCTCTTAACCACTGAGCCATCTCTTCATTCCCCTCATGTAATATTTAATTGTATGTATCACACAATGGCTATATTTTTTTTTCTTCTTGATTTTTTGAGACAGGGTTTCTCTGTATAACAGCCCTAGCTATCCTAGAACTCACTATGTAGACCAGGCTGGCCTCGAGCTCACAGAGCTCAGACTGCCTCTACCTCCCAAGTGTTGGGATTAAAGGTGTGTGCCACCACACTGGGTCACAATGGATATCTTGTAGAGATTATATTTGTTTTCTTTAAAAAATGTTGAGTGTTAGACCATAATTTGGTTCTGCCAGGCTTGGTGTTTATTCTTTGTTAGAACAGATACTTTTGGGTTTTGCTCTTATTAGGGGAAATACAAGGAGCCTTACTCCAAAGTAGAATTCAGTAAAGGCCAGATAGGATCTTAGACTTTTGTGAGCAATACTATCTGTTATAATTTCTCAGCTCTGCCAGGTGCAAGTGAGCATAGTGATGTTTCAATAAAACTTTATTTACAAAGACAGGCAACCAGTTAGATGGAATTTGTCTACTCTTACTCTGGTAACAGGAGTAATTCTTAACTCCAAAGTCATAGACTTTCTGGGGTCTCAGTCGAATACTGTTGGTGTTGGGGAGGCTTTGTGAGGTTTGCCCAAGGAAGTGTGTTGGCTTTGGACTTAAACTGGGGCTCCTACTTTTACTAGCACTGCAAACTCTGAACTTGGTTCAATTCTCAGCTAGCAGCAGCTTAGTCTTAATAGCCTGTGGAATGCCCTGCCTCTTTTCCAGCTTCTTTTGAAGCAAAACCTCTATTCTCTGACTTAGCCAAGCATTCAGATGGTGCATTGATGGGGGAAGTCCTTCTGTGTATATGTTGTCTTATTGGTTGATAAATAAAGCACTGTTGGCCAATAGGGAAGCAAGATAGGTGGGACTATGAATCGAGGAGGATTCTGGGAAATGTAGTCAAGAATGGAGGGTAGCCATGTGATCCTGGGAAGAGAGAACGCATGAGACTGCATCCTTGGTAAGATAAGACCTTATAAAAATATATATTAATAATTGGGTTAATAATTAAGTCAGAGCTAGCTATTAAGAAACCATAGCAAACGGCCAACAGCTTCATAATTAATATAGTATCTCGTGTGTTATTTAGGGGCTCAGACAGCAGCGGGACCCAGGCAACTAGCGGGAAAGAATACACGTTACAGTGCATGGCCTCATTTCCCAATGCCACATTTGGGAAGGTTTTGCAGAGCAGAAATCTGGGGAGTGATTAATTTGTTTTCTCTTAAGGCTCACTGCCCTCTGCATTACTTTGCTATGTAATGCAAACAACTGGTTGGTCCACATGCTTTCCTGGTTGCTTAATACAGAAGGAATTCTTATAGAAGTTACTCTACCATAAATAGAAGAAGGTTTGTTTTGATTTTAGACAGGATCTCATGTATTCTAGACTAATGGAGAACTCAATATGGTTTATTTGGCTTATGCTTC